TATGGGCTGCGCCGCCCCCGCTGTGCCTAGGCGGCTCCGTGCAGACGAGTGCATTGGAAGCGTCCGGGCATCTCTGCCTGTCTCCCGCGGCACCTGCCAGGGGTGCCCTCCCCAGTGCCAGGACCTTCCTCCCGCCGCTCCTGGGCAAACGCCTGCGGCTGCTGCAGAAGCAGGAGGGAAAAAATGTCCCCCGCTGATTAATTCGCTCTGGAGTTTTTAGTATTTTGCCAGGGGAGGGTGAGCTACCCATTCGGCAAAGGCGCTACGCCAGGCTGGTAAAGATCGTCCTGCAACCCTGGCGACGACGGGGCACAGGCCTCGAGAGGTCAGCCTGCTGGCTGAGCGGTGGGTCAGCAGAGAAGCCCCCTTCCCTGCTTCTCTGCTCCTGGAGGACATTTCTGGCAGTGAAGGGAAGGGCTGCCGCCGGCCTCCAAGTGAGCGCTCCTCTGCATTGCAAAAGTTTTAGGGGGTGGTCTTCTAAGATAGCTTTCCTGAGGGAGGAGTCCCCCAGGCGTGATGGAGTCCAGTCCCCATAGCTCACAACTAGTATGATCGGAGGGGACTGAGACCATGTCTTCTCAGCATCTCACGGGCTTCTGATGACCCTCAGACTTCTGAATCTATTGGGACCCTTGGCTTTTGAACTCTACACGTAGGGGTCTGCCTACCCACACAGCTAGTTAAAGATATTCCTGGAATTTGTTCCTTGCTCAGGTTTCTGTCCCACTTTTCCACCAGTACAGATTCCATCTACTGGTGGAACCCCGGGGAACAACAATAATTGAACAGGCAATAAAATGTAGAATTGACCCACGTTGATTTAATGACAGAGTCTTAAGACAAATACTGTAGGGTTTGTTGTTCAAGGAGCCCTTCCTTGGGTCAGAAGGTCATCCAGGAGAGAGTAGAATTAACAGGTCCATTGCCTACTTCTCCATCCTCTGGTGGTGGTGGGACTGAAAAAAAAGCCCCTCCCAAGGATCTTGAACCTCAAGCTGACTTTTATGGGAAAATGTAGTCTTCCCAAGAACTTGGCCTCAAGCTGTATGGAGCTTCTAGGTCATAACCGCCGATTTATCTGGTGCCTAGAAATGGACAGGTGAAGCCATTGGGTCAAGCAAATCCACGCTTGGTATGTCTGAGTCTTCCCAGCGTGGTTGCCTTCCAAATGTGGGCTCGGGATCTTGGGCTGTTGAAACTCAGCATATCTGTAGGGTTGGGGAATGTTGCTGTTACCAGCTCCAGTCAAATCTGAGGTTTCACACCCTCTTCAGGACTGCCCCAGATGGAGCATATGAGCATGGTATGAATGAGAGCTTGCAAGATGGTTCTGGACAGTGGGCTTCTGATGATATCAGCCCGAAGGTTTCTGGGGTTAGAGGAAAAAAGAGAAAACAGTAGAACACAAGGAGAAAAGGGGAGGGGGAGATCAACTGGCCAGGATGCTGTCGTGATAAAGCTTTGTTCAGAAGCTCTGTAAGGCATGTGGGATTTTGCCGTAATCCAGATTTCAAGAAGTAGGATCATCCTGAACTTCGCCCAGACTTGAGCATCTGGGTTCAGCATTAAATCCAGGAAGAAGTGTGAAGTGCAACTTGAGGGTGGCACCCTGTTCCTTGATCGGCTGCTTAGCCAGCCGGTGAGAGGAGCGTGTGGCACTGAGTCTGACAACTGCCCCTCCTGGAAGGATGGGGGCCATCCTAAAGCAATGCCTCTGTGGCCCATCCCTGCAGAATGGATTACATTGCCTTTCCCAGAGGAGTTCAGAAGAGTTGCCAGAGTACCTTCCACCTGTCTGGTTCCCAGCACAGACGGTCTTCCAAGTTGATCACGGGTGCTTCTGCTCAATAACAGGACCTGAAACCACTTTGAAATGAACGCAAAGGCAATCGACGTATACTGGATCTAGTGGTGCTGAAATTCCCACACAAATACAATAAACATGAGAAGGAACTTCTGGCCAACTTCTGGTAGACCACTGAGCTTCTCTCAAAGAACACTGGACTAAGTGGACCTTAAGGACTAGCGTAAAATGGTTTTTAATGGCCTGCCCCAACCTGGCACCTTCCAGATGTATTGAACTTGCCAGGGTCCATGCTGGCTGGGAACTGTAGTCCCCACTTATTTGAAGGATGCCAAGTTGGAGAAGATGATTCTGAGGCTCTTTACCATAAGGGACCACAGATTTGGGTCATCCTCAATAGCCAGCTGTGGTTGCCACCAGCTGTGCTCTTCCACCATGCCTCGGGAAGGGTGCGGACTATCTAGGACAGGAACTGGGGCCACCCCTCTATTTCCCATGAACTGAGCTTTGAAGTCTGGAAGAAAGCTGTGAGATGTTGGGAGACATCTGGAATTCCTCCATAGCTTAAACCAGGAGCTCTTCCCAGTTGGATGAACGGCTGTCTTGGCAGGGCATCCACGGGCTTCCTGAGTAACTCATACTTTAGATCCCACACGTTCATTGTTTTATAAATTCAAAACATGTTTACAGACCTCAGCGATCTTAGCAAAATCTTAGTGAGGGAAGAGTCAGCCACAGAAAGTGGACTGAAGCCAGCCTGTCCCTTTTCAGGTGCTACCCCAGTGAGCATAGGTGCAGGCTGGCTGAGAAGGGTGGGAGTTGTGGTCCAGCCCCTTTAGAGGCGACCAAGTTGGGGAAAGCTGGTGTGTCAATTACGCAGGATGCCATCGAGGGAAAGAACTGGTGAAGTGGCCTCCATTGATTTTAAACAGCGCAGGGGAACAGGGGTGGGGTGTAACTGCCAGGAGCTCCCCAGGATGCTGAGTTGAAGCAGTTGGAGGTTAAGGCAAATCTCTCTCGGTTTACTAATTATACATCTTGCCATTAACGGTGATGAAAATAGCAGGAAATTCTGCAGAGTTGCCCACATTGTCAGAACCAGCTGGAAAAAAAATTACAATGGAGGAGAAGTCAAGATTAGCATTCACATTTAAGCACTCCTAGATGTGTTTGTTAGAGCACAGCGTAATCTGTTTTCTAGGGGCTTCTTCCTGTGCAAAACTCCCTGAAAAGAATTGGGAAATCAGAGAATTGTACAGTTGAAAGGGACCCTGAGGGTCATCTAGCCCAACCCACTGCAATGTGCAGGAAAACCTATTCAAACATCTGTGAGAGGGGGCTGTCCAGGCCCTTCTGGAAAACCTTGAGAGATGGAGAGGCCACGAATTTGCTGGAGGTTTCTGGAGAAGAGTTTTCCCCCAAACCCTGAACAATCCCCAAAGGAGGCATTAGAAATGGAGATTTCTGCTCCAGACTCTGCACTTCCGTGTGTTGTGTGTGTGTGTGTGTGTGTGTGTGTGTTGGGGACTGTGTTGCCAATTACACCACACTTTTAAATAGCCTGCTCTAAACTGGTAGAATTGAATCTGTTAACAGTTCTCCCCATTATTGTTTTAATTCTAGTTCTGCTAAGATTAATTCAGATTCTGCTAACCCTTCAGATCTCAGATCTGAAAGCTCGCAGCCAGCCTGGCTGGGGATTATGGTAGTTCAAGTCTGACCTCTTTGGGAGGCACCAGGTCTGGAAAGTCTGGTTTAGATGAATGCTCAAACCAAACACCCCACCGTGTAACTCCCGCATCTAATTGTGGCTATTCCTAGAGTTGCCTCCTCAGCTCTGAACCTGTTGGGTGAATTATGGCTGATGTGGTCTATTAATTGTTTCCTCTTTTAATACTCCAAAGCTTTCAGCACTTCAGATTCCCCCCCCCCCAAGTGTTGACTCATCTCTAAGGAGGCCACATCTGATGTAGGTCAAAGCAGGACCAGTGAGCATCACCGAAAGGTTGGGAGAAGTTTCATAGGTCTTGTGGGTAGATGAAGAATTTGCTGATAAATGGCTGGTCCCCAAATCAGTGAAACCCTGCAGGAGTTGTGACCGGTATATCCTGGAGTTATTCTCCTTTGCACATTTCTTAGAAGCAAGCTTCATTGAGCTTGTTTGCACATTTAGGATCCAATTGCACACTTGCCTTGAATTGTGTCCTATTATTAATTTTAGAATAAGGATAATGCTACATTCTGTCTTGCCCAGACTTGGGGCGTTTCAGGGACTCGAGCTGCTTCTGGCTTTGTGTCAGCCTCATAACCCCCCACCCCTTTCCCTCCCTCCAGCTCCTTGGCCAGGTTGGCTGGGAACTCTGAGATTGGTAGCCCCAGCTTAGCTGGAGGTGGGGAACATAGTGCCAGGCAGTAGTTCGAAACCACTGTGGGTTTGAATGTTCAGGCACACTGGGCTTCATCCACTCATTCCTCAGCTAGAAGGAAAGGAAGAGATCAGAGAACTTCTGGATCCCTAGGTCCATGCTGTTCCCTCCTTGAAGGCAAGCCCCAGATCCTGAGCTGACTGAACTTTTACACTGAGATCATGCTTATCTCAGAATACATTCTCCGCACCTCCTCCTTTTTTTTCTGGCAATAATCAGATGGGGAGGTTAGGAGGACTCGTGGTGGTTGGTGACAAGACGTTTCATGGATTGTCCGGGGATTTCACACTTGGCTCCTTGCCTTGGGGTGGCTGTGTGATTAAACCCTGGCTGTCACAGCTCTTGTGCTCAGCGATTGGCTGAGATGCTCTGATGTCACAGGAGGCTCAAGAATACTCCATTATCTTGCTAAGGGGGGAAAGGTAATGATTGGTGACAGGCATTTCCAGCTGTGGCTGGTGGGCTGCTGCATCACATGTAAATGGTAGACGGATCCATCAGAATTTGGTTCCCGTACTGGCTTCTCCATAATGCCATTTTAGAAGACGCATTGGGCTGCCATAACTGGATCTGAACCGTTCTCTAGATTTCTCCTTTCCTCTACCGGGTCATGCAAGATCAAGATGCAGGTTGCCACCTGGCGTGCCTACCTCACTTAAGGGGGACCTTCTTCTGCAGGGCTCCATGGATTGCCCCAACCTGGACTTTGAGTACGGAGATGCTGACAGCCACGCTGCTGAACTGGCAGGTAAGAAGGTGCGGAAGAATCAGTGTTCTTCATGCAGGTCAAAAGGAAACCATCTTTCAAAGATGTTGATGCTGCCAGAAAATGCTCAGGCATTTTGCAAGCGAAGAGATTGAGGCTTGGCTGAAAGTAGCAGGGCGAGGAAAGTCCTGCCCGCCAGTTGTGGTGCTCCCAGCTCTTCTGCAAGGCAGAGGTTGGAGGAGGCAGACCCAGACCCACAGGCGCTCCAAGGCTCTCCCAAACTCTAGGGAGACTTGCAGTCGGTCCTCCAATTCCGCGGGGCCTGGCCCGCTTGCCTGCAGCTGACTCCGGCAGGACCCTTCCCATCCCTCTGGGCCTCTCCTGGCCTTACAGGAGCTGCTTTGGCTTGCAGGCTCCCAGGAACAGGGGCAGTCTATCTCTGAATCACCCCTAGAAGGAGATGAGCAGGAGGTCAAGAATGGGTTCACGGTCATCTTTGCCCTCTTGCTGGGCAGGGAGGGGGCTAATCCTGGAATCAGGCAGCTGTCCTTGGCGGAAACAAGATGATGCCTGTCGAGAGGGTTGTGGTGTCCTCTAGCAAAGTCCTTTTCTTCTGGGGGGGGGACAATAGCATGGTGTCTCACAGCCCCTTGCTGTAGGGACTCTGGGAGGGGGGCAAAGTAGCAGGGCTTCCAGACTGCTTCCCCCACAGCCCAACTCCAGGCAGATTTACTTGCAAGCAGGTCTGGGGGGGGGTTACCTCTGTGTAAGGGAAACGGGTTAAGACACTGGCACCAGGATCAGGGAGACCCAGGTCCAAATCTGCAGCCCCCCCAGAAATTCCCTGGGCGACTTTGGGCAGCTCTTCGCTCTCAGTGCAGCCTACCTCACAGAGTTGTTGTGGGGATAACATTGGAGGAGGAGAGGCTATGAACGCCGTGCCTGAGGTCCTGGAGGAAAGGCAGGCTTTAAACCTAACACAGGAATGGCAAGAGCTGCAGAAGTTTATGCCCTGCTGTGAAACGTTAGAGGTTTGCATTCTCACTGCACCGTGGCTGATGTGCCTTTGACAGTCTAATCGTAGCGGTGCATTCGTGTTGCATTTGGGTGTGTATGTTTTGGTTCTTTCTGCTGTTGTGCCTGTGTGTTTGTTTGTGTGTGTACACATGCACTGGGAAGTGTGGGGTGGGCTGCCTATGCTCCTCTCTGGTCACATGACCAGGAGGCGGGGCTTAGAGTGGAGCATTCAGCAACTTTCCAAGCCGCTGCCCAAGTGCCCAAGGAAGGGCGGGGGGGGGGGGATTTTCCAGATTTTTTTTTCACAGCCCCCCAGCCAGATCTGGCCCATTCTGGAATCTGGACTGTCTTTGCCGCCACCTCCCCTCCACCACATCTTTGGTTCTGCGCTTTTCAGTTTGGGAGGAGCTTTTCTGCTAACTGGTGGATGGACAGGCTCCCCGTCTTCTACATAATTTCTATCCAACTTTCTGGTGTGTTGGAAAGAATAAAATGCAGATGCCAGATAAGAAAATCCAAGCTTTTTGCTTGGAGCTGGCGGCCCAGACATGGATTATGGGGCAGGAAGCCCTCTGCCTATGCTCATATGACAAGTAGCAGAAATAATAAATAAAAATGGTTCTTTTGAAAAATGGGCCTCGTTGAGGTGGACACGTAAGATTTGCAATCGGTGGGCATCCTGTGCAAAAACGGGAGAGGGGAGGATAACCCTCATGTAAAGCCCGATTGGCATTTGACTCTTGCTGGAAAAGAAGCAGAGAAAACGATGTGCTGCACAGATTTGTAGTAAGTTACAGTTTCTTTCTATACGTGTGTTTGTGTATGGGTGTGTGTGTGTGTTGGGTAAATGCAAAGAACGCTGTGTGTGAGCGCAGGGCTGGGATAGGCTGGGTCACACTGTGGCCCGATTCTGGTCTCGCTCAGAGCGCGGCACCACGAATTCAGCTTTTCCATTTGGTTTGCAAAGAAACGACGTCCCCTTTTAAAACGAGCGAGTTGCCGTCCAGTAAAAACGGAAGGATGATCGGCATGAATAATAGACAGAGGGATGCCGGACCAGAATTTGCCGTGGAAGTTATTCAGGTCAAATTCTCTCCAGCCCTTCTCTCGGTAGGAGGAACGATTTTAAAAATGAATACCTTTGGTACAACCACCTGTGCTATTGTAGAGGGGATTTTTGGGGGGGGAAGGTGGGGAATAATTTCTTAGGATAGTAAAATCTTGCAGTTTAGTTTTGGAGCCGTCGGGTTCTGTGAGGTTTCTCAACCTTCCCTGTGCCTGCTATGAGAGCAGAAGAGCAATTGGTATATACGATATAAATGTTCATTTCAGTGTTTGTCTACGTTCTTGGTATTTGCAGGCGAAACTGGCCTTTGCATGAGAGCAATCCAAGCAGTTAATAAACTGCGGTTTCCTAACTATATACACACAAGCTGGGGTGTCCACAGAACACCAAATAGTCCAAATGGCAATCATGACCGCGTGATTGATGTTCTCTCCCTTTTTTACATGCATCACATGTACGATGTGAGATTTGCCCCGTTCGACAGAGAAACTCTCGTGACACGTGTGGTTCACAAAGAAGGTTTACTCATGC